TAGGGATTGTAGGGCTGCATCCGCAGAGGTGTTGGGAGGAGCTGGTTCTGGGCTCCTCATTTACATCGGTGGGGCTTGCCCCTGGGCACAAGCCTTCGCTCAGCTCCACTGATCTCCTGGGAAGATTTGTGAGCAAATTTGCTTGTCTCTAACAGAGACTGAACATTGTTACCTGGCTTTCTGCAAGAAATTACTTGAGTGAAGAAGGAGGGAAAAAATCAAATACATATGTTCTTTCATTTTTCTTCTTTTATTTCCTATGGGAATTTTTATTTGCTGGGAAGTCATTTGGTAAATAAATTTTTGTGCATATGCTTTCTTCATTAAAGAAATTGGAGATGGGGATAAACAAATATTTTTTCCTGTAAAAAAGCTCATCATTCTACAGAAGAACAGGCAGGCTGCCATTGAAACATTTTTGATAGAAAATCTGCCTGGAGCCCTACTGCTTAATCAGTTTGGAACTCAGTGTAGATTCTAGCTTGTTAATAAGAGCAGCTTGTCCAAGCAGTTCACACAATGGTGAGCCGCAGAGGAGGCTTGCTGCATAGCTGTGGATTTTATTTTGCAGTTCTGTTAATTAAAATATATTTTACTTTGAAGGAGGTTTTTACTGTTTTCTATGAGGCTGAGCAGAGAACTGTTCCCTTGGATGGATTAAGGGAGGGACATGAAATATTTTCTTAGAAGTAAAAACTCAGCTTTGTTTGCTGGGCAAACTGAGCAAAAGCAATGTAAAATTTTGTGGTTTTGTTTGTTCTCAGTCCTTGTATATGAGCTAGTTTATAAGTTGGTATAGTTTGGCTGTTTTGATAACATCAAACGAAATATTGCACATACAAGTTGCCAGACTGAAACAGAAAAGTCACAGATTCTCATTTAATTGATAAAGTAATTTTTACTTATACAAGCATATACTAAAATAATAAGGCCTGAATCTGTGCCACTGAAGTTAATGACAAACCCTTCATAGGTTTCATATAAAACCTGTATTTTTATTATCCCAGTTCCACTGACTTTTGTTGCAAGATTGCAGCAAAATGTTAAGGCATTTCTAGGTGTTATTTTTATTATACAAAACCCCATTAAAATTGGTACTGAAGCATCCCATTAATTTAAATGGGACTTTGCATAGTTTGCTGAGTTCCAGGCCACAGATAAAGAGAAGTATGCAATTTAGAATTAAACTGACCACAGCTTTTTATTAGAAGGCATTTAATCTTGAATGGACTGCACAGTCTGAGGCATAAAGTATTTGTGAACTTCGTCTGGGCTGGTGCAACCAGAGCCTCCACTGTGCAGCAACTCCTGGGTTGGTCTGGGACCTCTCAGGACCATACAGTATTCCCAACCAAACCCAAGCAAAACTCTCTCCCAGGCAGCTTTGCTTTGGAAATGCTAATAGGTATGCCAGCATACCCAGAACAAATGGAAAACTTTTTTCCGGTATTTCTCTGGCTCTAAGGATCTGCTTGTCTTGACAAAGCCTGCAATCAGTAGGCAGGAGTCTGGGGACTCTGTGCAGCACCCGCTGGAAGGTAAGGTCCATCCGGGATGGAGCCACGCGAGATGGAAGTGATGCAGCTTCAGGAATTCCAGCTTGAGCTTCACACACTGGAAACCACCGGGAGGAATGTGCAGGGCGAGGCATGGGATGGAAAACCATCTCCTCCGGTGTGTGGAAACACCCACCAGCCAGACGCCGGCAACGGGAGTTCAAAAACCAAAGTGAGAAGGGTGGTGGTGAGCGGTGTTTTATACTGCCCTCCCCATCCTCCCCGCCCCCCCGTGGGGACTCTGGGGACTAACGAACCATTAAATGACACCTTCCTCAGCTGCCCCCAATGTGGGCACACACCTGGGCTCCTCCAAAGACACATCGCTAAGGAAAATGTGCTTGGCAAGGCAGACAAAAGCCGTGCCTCAAACACTCCAAACCCCCAAATAATTCAAGCTCTAACCATTGTGGGGGAAACCAAAAGGCTGCTGGAAGCAGGGCATCCGTAAAACTGCACAGGGAAGGTGAAGGAGCTGCTTTCTGCTCAGTGTCTCCTTGGAATTTTAATTTCCCTGAGCCATAAATGTATCAGGATGCCCAAATGTCGCCCAGCAGCAGCAGATAACTTTCCGTGGTACAGTCACAGGGCGGGGGGACACTTGCTAGGGACACCAGAAGAGAAGGCTGTGTCCCTTGTCCCCCAACTCTTTCCTGCAGACAGTTTCAGGAGGGGCTGGGTGGTTCAGGATTACAACAACTGAAACCTGGGGCAGGTTTTGGCAAAACGTGAACGCCGCTGCTCTGATTTAGGACTAATGGACTTTTCTCCAGGAACAGGAGAAAACGAACACCTAAAATCCTGGCTAAAATCCCAGAAGAGGACTGGCAGATCCCCTCCCGCCTGGAAACTGGGGGAAAATCAGTCCCTGTGCTGCTCGAGTGACACTCCCGTGGCTGTAGTGAGGAATGGAGCAGCCGGGGAGATTCGGATCCGCTCTGCTGAGCCCCCGTGTTGAGAACAAAGCTCTTGCGAAGTCCCCCAGGGCCGGGACGGGCGCAGGAGCCACCGGGGCACGGAGAACTGCGATCCTCGGGGAACGGGGCCATCCGCGGCCGCGCAGAGAGCGCGTTTGGGCTGGGGAAGGGCCCCGGTGATGGCTGTTCCTGCCTCCGGCTCCGCATATTTCATTGATTCCTTATATCATTTACGGCATTTGGGGCAAAACATTAATAGTAATCGCAATAGTTAATAAATAGTCATCAAATAGTAAATAAATAGCAATTAAATCAGAAGGGTTTGTGCTTGCAAAAACTTAAAGGAGAGGGAGAATTAATCGAACAACCTTTAAAATTCAGAATTTGGAGAAACAAGAGAAAAACGCACCTTAGCGAAACGGGGCGAGCAGCTGTGGGAGAAGGAGCAGTGCCAGGGCTGCGACCCACCGGGGGTGCTCCAGGGCTCAGGGATTAACTCTTTGGGGAGGAAAAAACCCGGTCCACGGCTCGGAGCGCTGGGATTTGGTGGGATGCAGCAATGCAGCGGCGAGGAAGGCTGGATCCTCAGCTCCGGCAAACAGCGCTAACAGTCTGCCATAAAATTGGACCTGGGGAAGGTTTCCACTGCCAGAGCTGCGCCAGGGAGCGGGGGCAGGGAAAGGGGCTCCTTCCCTGTCGGGACGTTGCGGGGGACGCGGGGAGACGGCGCGACTACCGGGGAAAGCGGGGGGGAGGAGGGCTCCCCAAAATGCCACCACGGGGAGGGGGAAAGAAAGTTGCTTTTCTTCTTGTTTAGTCGCTCTCTTAGACACAGCTAGAAAAGAACATTAAAGGCATTTCTAGATTTCGTTTATCTTTGTTTTTTTTTTTTAGAGTTTTCTTTTTTATTCCCATGCTCTTAATTTTGAAAAAAAAATCACAAAACATAACTTATAAAACAATATATATACTGCATCCTTATCCACAATAGCATAATTGAAACATCCAGGGTAACGTTTACCACAGGTGTGAAATACACTGGGAAAGAAGTACCGTGTGCATTTTATGTCTCTTTGTCATCTACATGTAATAAGTATTGACAAAAATAAGCAACAGATATATCTGCAATTAAACTTCATATGCTTTTTTAATGCGTATTAATAAAAATCATATTTATAATTTCCATGTTTTGTTTGGGTTTTTTCCCAACAAGCACTTGTAAAAGTATCTATATTTACATAATAACACCTTAAGATAATAACACCTTAAGAATTTTTTTGGTTCCTTGTTTTTCCTTCACATTTAGAAAAGCAAGGAACGCTTTCAGCTTTGCTAAGAGCCTTTCTGGACGCCGAAGCTCGCTGTTTCTCTAGCAGAGATGCAGTATCTGAAATCACTTCATAACAAACCATTTTCCGAGACTTTATAAACTGGTGTTGGTTTTCGGTTTTGCTTTTCAAAGAGAAAAAACACCCCTTTACATTTAAATAAAGATGAATTATAATTTCATTTTCAGGATAAGTCTTTGGATGGGGAAAAAGATGAACAGTTTTCGCACTTCTGAAGAGTTTCTGTGCCCTCTCACAACCGGGGATACTGCAGTCTTTTGGAAAGGATGAAGAGGTAGGAACCTTGAACTGCTTAGTATCAGGAATGACTGGATTAGAGCTTCCAACTAAAGAAAAAACGTCAAGAATCATGCGTTTGAAAAACAGTTTATTCAATGGCCAAGGACAATGATCCGGCACAACGCAACGGTAGATATAAATATAATCTTATATAAGTGGTTGACCCTTGTTATTATTATTTTAATAGTTTCATACCTAATATTTCAACCATTTTCCCCCCGCAGATTCTACTCTGCGATTTGTTTTTTGTAGCCCTCCCCTCTTTCCTCAACCTTTTTTTTTTTTTTTTTTTTTTTTTTTTTTCCCGAGCGTGATTCTGTTTCTCAGTGGTAAACATTAACCAAACTCTTCCCGTGCTACAAGCGGCCAAGAACCGTCCCACCAGCTCTTACCACCGAGGCGTCCCCTCCTGCCGCCCTCCCCGCTGGGCAGCTGCCGCCTTACCGACTCCTGTGCAAGTTCAAGTAAACACATACAACCCGCATAATCCAGAGAAAAAAAAATTGCAACTCATCCATGTACCAGATTTCGGTGTCTCTTGCAAAAGTTTTCTGGTCCGTTTACGGTTTTAGAGGGGGGTATTTTTTTTTTTTCATTTTAAAAGCGCTGTTTTGTTGGTTGCATGGTTGTTTCGGTTATTTTTTTTTCCTTCTTTCCTTTTTTTTTTCCTAGACAGTCGAAGTCGCGGAGGTTTTGGGGCTTTGGGTTTTTTTGTTTGGTTTTTTTTTGGGGGGGGGATGGCGTGTGCTTTATTTTATTTTATTTTATTTTATTTTATTTTATTTTATTTTATTTTATTTATTTTTTTTTCCCTCTCTCACTTGCTTGGGTTTTGCTTTTAATCATCATGGGGTTTATTTTCTTTTCTTTTCCGTTAAACGTCGCTTTGCTTTTGCTTTGCTTTGTCGGCGGTGTTTTGTCGGAGGTGGTTTGTGTCAAGTCCGTCAACTGTTGTACTGACAGGCGTTTAAACTAGAGCCGGGGCTTTGCAAACTGCTGTAGCCGAAACTGGAGTGTTGCTTTGATTTCAGTCTGAGGCTGGCTAAGCTGGAGTTGCAAGTGTCCCTGTAGACGCTGTAGGGCGAGCCCGGTGGCCCGTAGGGACAGGCCGGCGAGGACATGGCCGAGTTGAGCGAGGAGCCGCTGATGTTGTTGATGTTGTTGAGGCCGGAGTTGGCCATGCCCGGCACGCCCGAGTGGCCCATACTGGAGGGCATGTTCATGGAGGGGATGCTGCTGGGCGCCGAGAACATGGACTGTGAGGAGAGGGGGCTCATGGAGTTGAAGAAGGTGAAGCTCTTGGTGGAGAGTGGCGCCGGGGTGAGGCTTTTGGTAGCCCAGTTGTTGTAGGGGTAACCGGCGTACATGTCGTCGTAGGGCTGCATCAGCCCGCTGAACTGGGGCACGTAGCCGTTCTTGCACAGGTCCATCTGCTGGTTCCGCTCCCGCTTTCTCCACTTGGCTCGGCGGTTCTTGAACCAAACCTGCGTGGGGAGGGGGGAGCGATACGTCTCGGTGAGTGCGGGGCCATGGCAGCTCCCCATCCCACCGATGGATGCGCAGATGCGCGCAGGGGAGCGCAGGTATCCGCAGCACAGCGTCTGCTCCCCCGGCCCGGCCTGCTCCTCCGGGACTCCAGAGCAGGCTTCGCGGCCCCGCACTGCCTATCCCCGCCGCCTCCTGCCCCTGCGGGAAGGGGTCCCGCTCCGCAGGGCTCTGCGCGCATCCCTCTTTGTTCAGCCGGCTGTGCCAGCCGGGATGCGCGCAGCCGCCTCTGTGCTAAGGGTGCCTGCGCGGGTGTCCGCGTCCTCCCAGCCCCGGGGGCTCCGCTGCCCCTTTCCCGGAGCCAGACGGGGGCCGAAGAGACGGCCCGCTCTGATTAGGGCCAGCTCGCCCCGGCTCTGCCGCGTTTCCGAACTCTAATGCTGTGTAATAAAAGTCCCCTGTTACAGATCATAAAAAAAGGGATTGGATTAGTATGTTTAGGTTTAAAAAAAAAAAAAAAATCAATCCCCGCATCGCCCTCGGATAGATGCAGCCTCTGCCTTTATATCTAATGACAGTTTACAGCCCTAACTAGGAAATAGAGAAGAGCGACTGATCTTGATGTTTGATGCAAAAAACCGGTTTAAATCTCACTCTTATTCTTTTACTATTTTTATATATAAATACATATCCATATATTTATATATAAAGCATTTGAGTCCCCCGTGACGGAAGACGGACAGCTTCAAAAATGTTTAAAAATTGGTTTAAAATCTGCATCGTTCTGCCTGCTGCCTGCGCCCAGTCTGCGAGCCTCCCTTGCAGCATCCTCCCCACCGCACCCCGGCTTTCTTCCACCTAGCCAGGGCCCCGAGCTCCCTGCGGACACCGGGGCTCCCGGCCCCGCGCAGGCTGCGTTCCCTCCGGTGCCGGGGCGGGGGCGGGGGGCGGCTCTTGGTGCCTCCCCTCCCGGCACAGAAATGGCATAACTATTATTAAATACCGGGCTCAAGGATGGAAACTCCGTGGGGGAACGGATGGCGGAGTCTATTTTAAAAAATAACAATAATAAAAAGAATCCCGTATAAATAGGAAACGAAAGCCAACATGTTCAAAACCTGTAATATACTCCTCGGAAGGTGCTTCCAGACAGGAATTTCCTGAAAATGAGGGTAATAGTTTTAATTATGGCTCCTAGACATTTTAAAGGAAGGCCCTCATAGCAAATTAAGGTTAGATTTGCAATCTGCCATCTCAAAACATTAAACTCAAACATCTCCACACAGAAAGAGAACGAAATTATGTTAATTGCAACTCATATTTTAGTTATGTTTGCTCCCTCAAATATTTAACCAGCATTAATGCTCAGGCTTTGTTTTGCTTTAAACTCAATTAAGACAATGCTTTCAGACGCATTTGTTTCAGATGGGTGTTTACTTTAAATGTTTAAAGCAGAATCTCTGTAATCCGATTTGGTCATCAAAGTTTAATTGCCAAGTTAAAAACAAAAAACGAAAAGAAAAAAAAGAAAAAGTGGATTTTCTGTGCGGTGGGGCTTCGCTCTGCAGTTCCCGTTTACCTCCCGTGCTTAGCCCACGGTCCCGTGGTGTGCGACCACTGTCGAAATCCCGCGGGGAAGCGTCTCGGGTGGAAAAAAGCACTTGGGAGATGGACAAACCGAGACATAGCGGTAGATCGATAGAGATCCAGCCGCTTCGGCCCAGTCGTTCTTTGCCAGGATCTTTCACTCATAAATCTTTCTAAGGAGCTGCCGAAGCACACACACACAAACGTGTGTATATATATACATATATATATATATATATATATATATATATATATATATATGTTTCTCACCGTCTGCACAACATTACCGAACCCCTCGAGTTTGGCTAAGAGGGGGCATATACATATGTATATATATATATACACACATATATACACATATATATATATGTATATATATATACACACAATATATGCATATATGTACACCAGATGTATATCTATATGGTAGCATAGGCTCCGAAGTGTTGTAAAAATCGAGCACCTTCGCGGTACAAGTTTGTGTTTTCAGGGCATATTGTCTTTGTGACCGCTCCCCATCCCCTGCCCTTCGCTTTCGGCCTCCACAAACACCCCGCGGTCTTTGGGGATGCGCGGCCGGGAGGGACCGGCACGGAGACCCGCGCCTTGCCGAGTGGATCTCGCCATCCCTCCGCCGGAATAGCGTGGGGCAGTGGTTTGTTGGGAGACGGCCGTTGCGATTACTGGGAATAACCACAGCAAGAGAAAGTTGCTCGGATGGGAGCTTGCTCCATTCCCGCGCCGCGTTTCGTCCAGTCCAGGGGGTTCTTCCCTCCCCAGTCAAACCCTTCCCCACCCCGGCCTTTAGATGCTCCCTGCGCCGCTCGCCGCCCACTTTTCGAAACGGTCCCCAGTACGAGGCCGACGGTCACGACTCGCTCCGGGCGGCATCTCTCCGTGGCCGAGAGCTGAATTTCTCCTCTCTGGCCTTGAGTTTGGGTCATTAAAATTCAGCCCAGAGCAAATCGTCGCAGCCCTCCCAGAAGGGGCAGCTTCCCCGAGCCCCCATGCTCCGGCTGCCCCAGAGTAGAGTTCGTACCCGGTGGGGCTGCAGCCCCTCTTACCCGGACTCGGGGCTCGGTGAGGTTGGTCCAGACGGCGATCTCCTCCCGCATGCTCATGTCGGGGTAGCGGTTCCGCTGAAAGGTGGCCTCCAGCTCCTGCAGCTGTTGGCTGGTGAAGTGAGTCCGCTGCCGCCGCTGCTTCTTCTTCTTCGCCGGGTCGTCGGCGGCCCCGTCCTCGTTTTTCTGCTCTCCGCTACGCTCTTTTTCTGCGAGGGGGTCGGGTTGGGGATAGTCGATTTATTTGTCCCGTTTTGTTTTGTTTTGTTTTGTGTTTTTTTGCCTTAGTTTTTTTCCCCAGTACAGGCACACAAAGACAGATACCCCTGCCCTGCACTCAGCGCTGCCCACCTCACCGGAGGCACGGGTGGGGTACCCACTCGTGTCCCGCTGGGCTCTGCACCCAGCGAGCGTCCCGCAGCCCAACCTGGCCTTTCCCGGGACGGCTGGAGAAGGAGAACAGATCCCTGCCGGACCCAGGGCACCCAGGGATGTAGCAGGAGGGACCCCCCAGAGCGGCTCGAAGTGGGCCCGATGGGTGACTGAATCCGTGGGGAGCGGGGTCCCGGTATCACCGGCCGCTCCGCCTTTCTACGGCACCTTCTCGCTCCCTCCAAACCAAGGCGTGATCTTTGCTCCATTGTCTTTGTTGTGCTCGGCCGGGACAGGAAACTTTGGAAGGGCAAGGGTGGAAAACTCAGAGGCAATTAATAGCAAAAGGCCCCTCTCCACTTCCCCACTTCATTCTCTTTTCATAATTATTTTATTCTTCATCTTTTAGGATTTTGGTGTCTATTTTAATACAGGGCTGAGCGAAGCCCCCCGCAAAAATCATATCGGAAAAAGGAAAGGAAAAAAACTGCCCGGGAGGATTTTGTCGTCAGGGATTTGCGCGGGTTGGGAGCAGGAATTCAACACCGGCCCTGCGAACCCCCTCTCTTTTTCGTAATGGGCTCTCCGGCTCTCCCAGCCCAGTTTCGGCCTGGTTTGTGCCGGCTGAAGCTCTCGGAGAGGGACTGCAGGCCCTGAACCAAAGTGCTCCCGGGCTGGGCCCCGGCGGCGCGGGGAAGGTGCGGCAGGGCCGTGCAGGGCCGGGGGCCGCGGCCAACCCCCTGCCTCAGTCCTGCTGCTGCAGAAAGGAAAAACCGCGATGAGTTTCCTCGTTTAGAGTTTTTTTCTCCTCCTCTAAAGAGATTTACTTTTAAACCCACTTTCAGAGGGTTTTCTCCCGCCGGCGGAACCAGGGGCATTTCTACAACCCCGGCTTCTGCGACGTAAGAGGGAGTCTAAAAATAATCGCATGCTGAATCCAGAGCCCGGGAGGACTCGTCCTTGCAAAGTCACCCTTGAATCGCACCTTACTGGGAGCCCTCCATAGGAAAAGGGGTGAGGGTGCGAGCGAACCTCAGATGCTCACTGGACCCCCAAAAGGGGCCGATGCCTCTGCGGGGTCTGCAGCGCAACCAAGGCCTCCCAGCACAGACCTCATCTCCCCAGGCCCTCTCGTCCCTAGACCGGCAGAGCCGCGTGGCCCGGCGACGGCGGCGAAACAGAAACAAAAATAATCCCCGCCAAAACAACTCCTAGCGCTTTCGGCCGCGAATAGCTTGGATAAACCGGGCCGAGAGGGACCGGGGGCCATCGGGCAGCGGCAGTGGTCCCGATGGACTCCGGCCACGGCCCCTCGCCCAGCGCTGACTTTAACTCTCTTGGTCTTCCCTAAAAATCTCGCCTCAGAGCAGCGCTGTGATACAATTCGAAATCGTAAGGCAAGGCATCTTTAATCGGCTTTTAACTATTTTTTTCCCCCATTAAAAAAATACTAAAATTTAAAGGTATTTTTCAGGTTCTCGGAGAAAAAAAGCAGGCAGCTCCTCAGCCCTCCGGCAGCACCGAGGGGTCACACACAGGGGTAGGGCAAAATGGAGCAAATCTCCCTCTCTAATCTCCAATAATCCCCTCTAATCTCAGAGTCCCTTCCAGACGCCGGTCTCTAACTTTGTTTGCGAATCAGGCCGGGAGGCACAACCCAAATCCTCTCTATCACCGAGTGCCGCCACTTCGGGACTGACTCTTGTCGCAGCCACTCTCTAGGTTGAAACTCCGAAGAGCAATAACTATTAGAAAATTAAAATTATATAAACATAAACTCCCTCTGAAATGGTTTTGCTGGAGAAGGAATATCACGCTCCTTCCTGAAGCTTTTGTTCCTCTCTTCTAGGTTTCCCTTGTCATTCTAAAAAAATTGTTCTTTTAATTAAGTGCAATCTGAGAGAGCACAGCATTCCCTGTAGCCCTCGCACACGGTGGTAAGGGCATGGGGATCCTTCATTTTTCCTGCGGGGAAAGCGCTCAGGCTCCACGAAAAACCTCTCCGCGGCCGCGCACATCCCTTCCGCAGAGGCCCGCACTGCCTGCCTTGGCCCTACGCTGCCTCTCCGGCTCTGCCTGTCCTTTCCTTCTTTTTAAAATTATTTTTTCGCTGACAGAGAGATCTTTTTCCATCTCTGCACCACTCGAGCTGGAAAATAAACCCGGGCAAAAGCTGACATTATTTCAGAAACATTCGGCAAAACCACCCTCCCCAGAGAGATCCCCCATCCCTCCCGACCCCATCAATTAATAACTACAGCTTTTTATTTAAAAATAAATAAAATAAATAAAAGAGAGCAGCTCCTGGGACGGGAGCATGGAGCCATGTGTTCCCCCGGCGGGCTGTCAGAACCGGTCGCGGTGTGGAAAGCAGCTCCAGGAGGGCCCCTGCCTCCCACTCGGATTCCCGGGGCTCGGTTGGGATGGAGCCGCCGCGATCACCGGCAGCTCTTGCTCACCCTTGTCCCTCCATCGCCTCCGGTTGCGCGGGGGGTGCAGGCACAGCACCCCCGGGCGCCCCGCGGAGGGAAGGCGCGGTGGGGAGGGGGAGGCAGCGCGGGGGGAGCGGGCCGGGGCCGCGGGGGACGCGGGGAGGGGGAGGGTTACCTGGCACCTCCGTGTCAGAGGATTCACTGGCTGAGTTGTCGATCGGGTCTCTGGGTTCCGAGGATCTTTGCAAATGGAAGCTGGAAGCCATGTCATGGGAGGGTTGGGGTCTCAAGCTCTCAGGCAGTCTCTCCAAATTCATTCCACCTTTAAAGGAATCCATGGCAGGGGCGCCGAGCTGCCTGGGGGAGTTTGCAGGTGTTTATTCCACACGGAAAGGAACAAGGAGCTCTTTTTTTTTTTCTTTTTTTTCTTTTTTTTTTTAAGAAGAAAAAAAAATCAACAAAACCCAAAAGCGAATCCACTTATTACTAACAGTATTATTTTAAGGGTGTCGGAAGCAATCTGAGCAGTGCCTGGAAGGCGGTTGTCTCTGCTGGGGAGAGGCACTGCGCTCCGGCCGCATAGGCAGGGAAGTAGTAAAGATCCCTTATAGAGAAACGCGAGTTGCGAGTTGGACAGTTTAAAGCTAAGGAGATTAAAGTGACCTGCCCTAGAACAAATGCCTGTAGTTAAACGGGGCTCCTCCCCCTGAAGGTTAAAACCTCCCCGTCTCGCTCATGCATCACTCCATCTAGCGCTGGCCCAGCCCGGCCGCTCGGGACCTGCCTCCGCACTCCCCGCCATCCGCGCCCCTTGAGCGCCCGCGGCCAGAGCCGCAGACCCCCGCAGCTGCTGCCCGGCCCCCGCCGCCTGACTGTGGCTCCTTCAGGGGTGTCTTTCCTCCTCCTTCTCTTCACCCGCCTCCTCCCCCAAACTCGGTGATGTATTAAAAATATTTCACAAACGAATGGAAAGGTGAACAATCCTCTGGGGACCCCCGCCAGCCCCCAGCATCCCGTCAGTTCGCCCCCCTTCCTAATCCTCTACCAGCCGGCAGCGCGCAGGTTGCGCCCCTTCGCAGCACGGAATCCCCACAGGTATCCCCATACCCTTCCAGGCTGGGCCTCACGACCCGGGGAACCTCCGCATCCAGCAGTGGATGCACATCGGCGCACTCCTCACCATCTCTGTGCGGGGCTGAACGACTCCACCACATGTTTCAGTCCCACGGGCAATATGTTCGTGGAGAGGTGCTTGGGCCGTGGGCTCTGTCTGAACTGGTTTAAAATTTTTTAAACATTATTTTCCAGGCTGCGGGGGTTATAACAACGCTGCCCGGGCCCTGCCTAGCGGCCGGGGGAGTGCAGCCCAGGGAGCAGCGACAGTGCCATCTCTCCCATCACATCATCTTTCAGCACATGATTAATAACAAATAATTTTCCTGCTGCAGCCGAACTCCCAGTGACCCTCAGGAGGGGCCTCTGCGACTGTGCCAGTCCAGGGCAGCCGGCGAGGAGGGGGTGGGAGACCCTCACCCCTCCTTGGCAGACCCCCTCTCCTGCATCGGTCACCGGTGCACCCTGTCCCGAGGCAGGGGCGTGTGGAGCAGGGCCGGTCCCCGGTGCTTCCCATGCAGGCCGGGATACGGCTTTAGCCCTCCTGGATAACACCTCGGTGTTTTGGCGAAGCGGAAAACCCACGGGAGAAGGAAGGTGGGAACATCGGGTACTGGGGATGAGGGGAAAGAGAAGGGAAACGAGAGGAAGACCCTGGCTATGACTGCCTAGGGAAAGGACCCTCTCTCCTCTCTGCTTTCTCGGCTCACTTTAACTGATCTATCCTGACACTCTATTTTGCTTTCAAATTAAGTAAAGATGTGGGACAGAACTTTTGAACTGTTTTATCGAAAAGTGGAGTGAAGCACTGTTCCAGCCGTGCAGGCTTTTTCCGACCCCGCCGGGGGGATGGAGTCGGGCCCACCCCGCACCCCCGGCAGCACCCTCCAAGGCCCAAGGACCCCAGGCGTGGGGAGCCCAAAGCTCCGAACCCCTTCACCTCTGGTCTTAAGCACCGTTCAGAGAATGTACATACGGGTGCTGTCAGGGTCAGCTCCCCCGAGCTCTCTTTCTTTTTGTTGATTTTTTATTTTAGTGACATCTTGACGTCCTTCTGCCTGTTCGCTGCTCCCGGCTGAACTTCACTCAGGAGTCTGTAAACGACTGGGAATTTCGAGCACCAGAGGTGCACCAGACAACCTCGGGGCTGTTTAAGATGGACATGGTTTAAAATGCAAATATTTACCAGGGTCTCTAAACCTCGAGGGGCTCAGCTGATGCAGGAGGCACGGGAAGGATGGAGGAGACTCCATCCGTGTGAGAAGCAAGAGGTGAGAGCGGCCTTTCTCCCAGGGAGGAGAATATACTGCAAACGTGCACCGTGTCTGAGTCCCTTCACCGTCCCCTTTTTTCCCCTTTATTTCTGTGGGCAGCACCCCGCGGTTCGCCTGCGGGGCTGCCCGCCCTCGGCGGAAGGGGGACGGAGCCCAGCGGACCATGCTAGAGGGAGGCGTTGACCTAAGGGGTCTTTTTCAACCTTGATAGTTCTATGATTTCACGAGTCTGCCAACAGTCTGGCTTCCCTCCGGCTATTTTAAACCCACTGCTCACAGCAGCCTCGGAAACGGAGGCGGCACTTCTTCGTTCATTTTAATTTTTTTTTTTTTTTAATAATACACCTAATTACAGTTTTTATTCTGTTCTACGAAATCTAGTTTTAAAATACGCGTTCTAGGTTCAGTTCCTGCTGCCTGGGAGCAAAGATAGGCTCTGCCCGGGCACCGGCGTGATTCTGCCGAGGCGGCGACTCCGGTAATGCCGGGTTCGGTTGTCTTCCCAGGAGACTGCAGCCCTCGGTTCCTCCTGGAATGTCACCGGGGCAGACATCCCCCTATACCACCCTTAAACAGAGAGTAACGGGCTGGCCCTCGGGAGCAGGAGCAGCTCCTGGTTCTCTCCTGACAGTCTCCATGACTGTCCGTGCCCGGGCCGTGATGTGGGCGGATATTTACTTCATACTTGCGCACGGGTTGGCAGCTGTAAAATATATCTGTATCATAGATCTATCTAATCTGTATCTTATATCTACCTAATCCATACCATGTATCTGTCTTCTGTGTGTGTCGTATACGTCTTTCGTGGGTTTAAGGCCATCCTCTCACTCCGCACTCTGTGGAGCGGGCACAGTCTTACAGCACAGAACCAAATCCTCCCGGTTATTCCCGTTGCTGCTCGCGACATTTATGTCACGACAGAGCGCGCCTCCAGGGCGGTCACCCCCAGATCTGCGCTTTCTCCTCTTTCTTCCCATCCAAGCGCGCTCTGCTTCAGGTTGGCGAGGACCCCCCCTCCGCCGGCAGCGACTTCCACTAGGCACTACGTCACCGGTCCATTCGCGTGACGTCATTTGTTGCCTCCCTGACTTCACGTCTCACCTTTCAGACAAGCTACGACCCAAAGCAAACCTTGATGTCCCACTCGGAGCCGGCTGCTCTTTCTGGGACTTGAAAGCAGCCCAGCGGCACCACTGGTTGGGCAGGATGGGGGCACCGGGCTCGGGTTCCCCTTTCTCCCAGCCACCGGGGGCTGAGGAGTTGCGGGAAGGAGGAGGGGCCGCAGCAGCCCGGCCGTAGAGACCCCGTCAGGACGTCCCTGGGGAGCCGCGACCTGCGTGGGCGTGGGAAGGGCCAGGCAGAGGCGGAGAGAGGGTGGGGTCGGGCCGAATGGGACCGGCGGAGCTCCGGCAGGGACCCGGGGTGGCGGGATAACTTTTCGTGGGAGCGCTCCGCGTGCGGTGGCCAGAGAGCACCGCTGCTCCGCTCCCGCGCTGCCACCGCGCTCCCGGCACCCCCGGCTAGAGACTGCGTCAGGGATCTGTAAAAGGCTGGAAACCTGCAAATAAAACCGCACCACTTCCTCCTGCTATAAATAACCCGAGAACTAAGGATGGCTTAGAAATAAATCAGCGCTGGCCACGCCAGTGACAGCCCCATGAAGAAGAGACGTCTGTCCGAGAGTGGAACTTTCACTACTCCCGAGGGGACAGGGCCGTTTCACTCCCAGGTGTCTGGAGGGCGTCCCTACTTTCGGAGAGGGGCTTCCATCCCCGGCTGATTGTGGTGGTTTCAGCCAATGCCAAACCACCTGGGCCGTATATCAGGTTCAGTCTCTGCTAGCTTTCCCTTTTCAGATTTATTACCGTTGTATAGACTCAGATTCAGTCTATAAATTATTGGGAATTATTACAAAAATGAAGACACCTCCTCCCAAGAGCACCTCTACCCGAGAACGAGAAGAGAGGGAAGTCTTCTGAAAAACAGAGCTGCAGTGAGGCAAGAGAGGAGGGAGAAGCCCTCCAAGGCAAACCCAACCAAATTCAGTTCAACCAAGACCAGTCAAACGCAGTCCAAACACCTCCAATTCAAACAAACGCAGTCCAACCAAACCCAATCCAGCTCAACCAAACTCAAGTCCATTCAGTCAAACCACACCACACCAAAGCAAAGCAAAGCAAAGCAAAGCAAAGCAAAGCAAAGCAAAGCAAAGCAAAGCAAAGCAAAGCAAAGCAAAGCACACCAAACCAAACCAAAACGAGACCATGCCAAGTCAAATCCAAACAATGCAATCCCGGCCAAACCAAGCCCAAACCAAGACCGCCAACCTTTCCCGGCTCCCCGTTCGCTGAACCCAGGAGACGGGACCTGCTACAGGAAAACAGCTTTTAATAATGGAACCAACCAAAAAGCGCCCCGCGAGCACGCTTTGCTGATGCGTAGATTTGACCCACGGGATGACCACGCGTATCAGAAGAAGCCGGGTCTGACGATGCACGCTCGAGCGTTCACAGGACTGCGCGATGCCCCAAGGAGCATGGAGCGCCCTGCGGGGAGCGGGGGTGGTTGTTGCACTGTACCGTGGGGGTGATGTCCGTCGTGGAAGTGTTCCAGGGGAGTCCTGCCCCAAAACAGCATCACCCCAAATGAAAAGCATGACCTCATGCACAAGGTGGAGATCCGCGTTCATGCCCCCGCGCAAGGCAAAGCTCTGCTCTCCCCGCGCGACCGTGGCCCCGACCTGAAGGGAAAAGGACACAAAACCCCAAAACGGCGAAAGGAGCCCCGGAACCCCCCGACCTCCGCCGGAGCTAGAGCAGGGTCCCCAACGGGCGGGGTGAAGAGGGAAACAGAGAGAGGGAAGAAATCCAGCCCAAAGTGCGTGTTAAATCGCTCAGGAGGGGAAGGTGGAAAATTACGCTGGCTCCCGGCCGGCCTGTCGTCCTCTGCGCAGCCAGGACGGCAATTTTCCTAAGAAGTAGAGCAAAACGAAATCAGTCCCTTTTGGACCCATAGTCTTCGTCCCTCCATATGTCGGCCAAGCCTCCGCCTTCCGCGAGAGCGCAGGGCCCCTCTGCACCGCGGATGCTCTGCGGGAGGGTTTCCAGCGGCCGCCCTCGGCCCCCCTGGCCTCCGACTGCCTCCCTGCCCCATTCCTCTCCTCTCGGTCCGGCCGACCCTACCCCACCACCTCGGCTCTCCCCGCCACTGAAAGAACATGGGGGAAACACAAAGAGGCGTCTGGTCCAGG